GATTTGTGTAAGAACTTGAACTCTTTGTTGAGTATTCACTGGACGTAACCCAGGACTAGGGGGCAGAGGGTCTGCGGTCTAGTCCCAGTTCTGTCACTAACTTACAGCGTGGCTGTCACCTTTCTAGCCCTTGGACTCTTCCTCTGCAGATGGGAAGAGTACTAGGCTCTGCCTCAGATGGAGGTGGTGAGTACCCAATGAAATCATACAGAAGTCAAAAGGCTGTTGTTATATAAATAGAAATCTGTCAGAGGATGGATCCTCGCTCTGCAACGCAGAACAGCTCCTAGAAGCCAGGACCAACTCCAGCTAGAGAATACAGCAGCCGCAGCCGTACCTGTGAGAAAGGTACCACTAGCAGCGTCCTGTGTTATGACACCCAGCTGGCTGCATTTTCGGTAAATGCATACATTGAGGTACATGCATTCAGTGGGATACCATGTAGCAATGAGGATGAACAAACTTAAGCTCCACCCAACCTCATGGATAAACCTCACAACCATAAAGTTGAAAAAAAGAAGCAAGTCACTAAAAAATGCATGCAGTATGATTCTATTTATGCAACATCTAGAATCAGACAAAATTCAGCCACACTGTTGAAGCAGGTGTCCATATGGGTAAATCCACAAAGAGAAACCTATGAATTATCATCACAGAAGTCAGAATAGCTGGTATCTCCTTTGGGGAAGGAGGGAAGGGGTTTACATATTTGGAGGGGTTGGGGAGAAGGGCTGCTGGGGAGCTGGCACTCCCTGTTTCTTGCCTTGAGAGGGGTTACGTCTGTGTTCACTTTACAGTTATTAAATTGTGCCGGTTGTTAAACATGTATGTTTTAGGTAGTCTTCTGGATATATCATCTATCCTAGAATTAAAAAATAATAAAGGCGTCTGAAATCAATAGGGAGCCACCCCAAATTAGAATAATAGCCTCAGAGATGCACGTCCTCAATTTTATAAGTAAAGAGGCTGAAACCCAGAGAGGCTACCAGTCTTGCTGAAGGTCACATAGTGTGTCACTAGTGGAACTGGCCTAGAATGAAGGCCAGCAACTCCTAACTCTGATCCTCCACCACCTTCCATCTCTCCGATGAGGCCTCTTTGTGGAATGGTGCAGGTTGGGGGCACAGCTGTTATGCCTGGGAGTTCCCTCGTTTTGTGAAAAAGGGAAAAGGCAAGTCATTGGGCTGATATAATGAAGAGCTGATATAAACCCTGAAGACTGTAAACGCTTTTCAAATGGAATTTTAAAACTATGTCCCTTTAACGTTCTATCCTGATAATGACAAAATGACGAAAAATAAATACCAGAAATCTCTGGCCACCCTAAGATCTGTGGTTTGACTCGTACACCATCTGATTTGCAGATAGTATCGGATGAAGCTGGCTTGAAGGGACGGGGTGGGGGAGGACAGAGGAAGGGGAGCCAGGAAGTCTGCAATTTTATTGACTTATCCACCTGGCCTAGGTGAGACCCTAGCCCTGGGACAGTCAGGAAAGGAACCTCTGCTATCTCTCTGAGAGCTTTTTTGTTTTGTTTAGAGGTCAATTACTTCCCATTTGGGAAACTTGTGAACATTAAGAGGTGACTGGAGTGACAGGACTGAACGAGGCAGATAAGAGGCTGATTGCTTACAGAGCGGCTCCCTGGTGAAAGCCCTGCCTTGGATAAGCTGTGGTTGGTAAGACACACAAAAAGGGACAGCTTTCGGTGCGAAGGAGAGATTACAGGACGGAAGATGGGCAGCTGGGGGTGGGCTTGAGGATCTGAGAGAGGGATGTGTTTTAAAGTGATCCTGACAGGATCACTTAAAGTGGGGAGTTGGGAGAAGAGAGTTTTACTTTACTCTCCTTTCCTTTTGGAAAGAAATCTCCTCAGTGTCCTGGGAATCTCAAACTTCCACATGCTCATTTGAAGAAAAAGCCACATGGGTTGCACATGGACAAGGTTTTGTTGTAGGTTTTGCTTGTTCGTTTAGGTCAGCAAATATGCATGCTACAGCAATCTGGACAGCAAAACAGAAAATGTCCCAGGTCAATGGAACATCTTGGGTATACGTGAAAGCAACATCCACTCCTGCCTTCCAAAGCCCCTCAGCCCATTGACTGCAGTTTACAAAGTCCCAGAAGCTGGCCTTGACCTGTATCTCAAACTACTAGAAAATATGACTCTAGCTTTGGCATGTACCCATTTACTCTTCTCCTTTCCTAAGTCCTAGACCTTGCCCGGACCCTCTCCCAGTAAGTAGTGTCATTCTCACCCTAATCGCCAGGCTTAATCCACCTCCTCTAAGCATCCCAGCTCACACTGGCTTTTCATTCTTTTTAGAGAGCTTATTGTGTGTCTGACTTGACATGCAGCATATACCACCTTGTATTTTCAGATATCTTTCTCATGGTAGTCTCTGGTATGCAATTAGATAATAAATTCCTTCAGGGTGCCAGCCAAATCTTATTTTCTCTTGTGTCCCATGTTCAGTGATGACTGAGATATTGATGATTGAATGAAACCCCTGTCCCCTTCACACCCAGGCTTGACCACAGTCATTGCTCTCCCTCCTGGGCTTTTCCGTGTGGCAAAAAGCATGGAGGGAGCTCAGGAGACAAGCCCTGTTCATAACAATACTGCTGTACACCTGAAACTAACACAGTATTGTAAATCAACTATACTCCAAAAAAAAAAAAAAAAAGAACAACACGTGTTTGGTAACCACTGCTTGGGTTGCAAGAGGGTGGGAGGGTGAAGAGAATAGCATTTATTAATTTTCTACTCTGTGCCAAGTATCAATACTTTTCTAGATCCATACAATGATGACCTACATTTCTAGGTAAGAACTTTGCCCAAAGAAGAGCAAAAGGTTTTTAAAAATTAACCTATAGTAGTTTAGAATCTGATCTCGGGAAAATTTAATACAACTCACTGAACAACTGAGGGCCAGACAGATGGTTAGGGAGTGTCAGCATTAAACTTAAACTCAACTGTCATGAATCTAAGGCCAGTGTCCACAGGTAATTTTTCCTCTTGTAAGGAATACCCACCCCCCGGGCAAAGTGAAAGAAGTATGATATCACCATGTGACAATTTTCTCATGATGGAGATTTTAACTGTAATCTCTATTTTTTTTTTTTTTAGTGTTAGCTTAACTGACCAAGGAATATTTACAGAGATTTCTTAATTTAAAATATACATTTTTATCCCAGGGATGCAAGACTAACTATAATTGAAAAACACTGCAGGGTGTTTCTAAATACACTTTTATTAACAGATATTTATGGAGAAATAAAAGAGAAAAGGGATGAAACCAAAAAGGAGAGAAAATATAAGGAAATGGTAGTAAGGAGAAATGTGAATACTTACCATTTTTTTTAACTTAAACTTTAAGAGATGTAAGCTGTCAATTGTCAGGCATCGCTTACATAGGACCAAGCAGTCCCTGTTTTCCACGTTGGCAAAAACAACCAGGGCAGATGCAGAAATGAGAAAATGCAGGGCCAGTACAATTTAATTAAAATTAGAATTTATTAAATAATAGAATTGAACTTTTGACAAGTTAGTGGTCCAGGGGATGAAGAAGCAGAGTTTTTCATTGTCTAAAAAAATGATATCCAAGGAAAAAGAAAAGAGCCTGATTTTTCTACTAGTACCTGCCAAAGACAACTGTCTTATTTGATTCCCATGTTCCCATTAACAAAATGAGTTTGTTCTCAGTCTTCAGTTTGCATGATTTCAGACATATTTGCGCCTGGGGGAATTGTAACTTTCCCTAAAACTCAGGCTTCCTGCCCATCCTGTTAGGACTTATGGACAAGTGGGAGCCTCCTTTTCTGTGGAATTTAGAAACCTACTACCTTCTGAAAGAAAACCTACTGGGGCTGGTAGGGAAGGAGATGGAGAGAGGTAACCTCTCCAGAGCGGAATCCAACTTTTGTCTCTCTAGGGAATTCCCTGTGTACTGAAGACTTAGAACTTCTGAGTTTCATTTTTACTTTAATTTGAAGTTGTTTAGCAGAAACCTAGAGGTGGATAGATTCTAATGGCCTACACACAAGGCAAACACACACTAATATATTTAGTCTATTTACTCAAGAGGTTGAACTGTATACAGGAGATAAAATGCACTTACAGTGGGGTTTCCCTGGTGGCGCAGTGGCTGAGAGTCCGCCTGCCGATGCAGGGGACACGGCTTCGTGCCCCGGTCCGGGAAGATCCCACATGCCGCGGAGCGGCTGGGCCCGTGAGCCATGGCTGCTGAGCCTGCGCGTCCGGAGGCCACAACAGTGAGAGGCCCGCGTACCGCAAAAAAAAAAAAAAAAAAAAAGCACTTACAGTGAGGGAAGAACTAGAGTGTGATGGATATCTTCTGGAGAACAATTGTGCCTCCAGGAAAAAAGCGCTCCACTAGATACTGAGTTCCAGGGAGCGCAGCCCGTGGAAGGGGTGGGGGGCGCAGATTACCCCCTGCAGGAGGACCTATTTCGCACACAAGTCCTCATGACCTCTTGGTCCTCCTTTTCCAGGCTCTTCATCCCCCTCCCCTGGCTCATCTCTTTTTCTCCTTCTTTCCCCACCTGTTGCCTTAAATCGGGGGATCGAGGCCCTCCAGAGCACCCCCATCACCTCCCTATTCCCTGGGGCTGCTGCACACAAATTAAGGAGCCTCTCAGCCCCTGTATTTGAGGCCTGAAAAGTCATCTGCCTCAGAACTACTACTCTGACGCCCGAAACTGCCAGCCACCCTTGGCTTTCCTCCCTCCCAGTGCTGCTTCGTGGGCGGCTGGCGGAGGCCCGGCGTTGCGTCTCTCGGGAGAAGAACGCCCCCAGGGCCTTCAGCTGGATGGCTAGTCGAAGGCAATTCCTAGTCCCAGGGATCGCTCGGGAGAAAAATGCCATCGGGTGGCCTATATTTCCTCCACGGCGGCGCTCCCTCATCCCGGCCGCGAAAGGTTAGCGGAGAGGCGGGACCGAGCATCTGTTCAGGGTGGCGCACCCGAGCCAAGACGCCTCACCAGGCCCTGACCCCCTGAAGCGCGGCGGGCAGATGGCCCTGCGGGTTGGCGCTCGGTCCCCCCCCGCTGAAGCCAGAGCTGGCCTGGGGTACGGGGGGCGCGGGGCCCGGGGGCGCGCCGGCGTAGCCGCCGCCGTAGGGAGCGCTGTAGGCAGCGCCCGCGTAGCCGCCGAAACAGGAATAGGGCGCCGCGGCCGCGCCATAGGGGCCGGGGAAGGCGGGCGTGCGGGGGCCCAGGCAGGGCTTGCCATCCCGCACCAGCACGGGCACCGCCACCCGGCGCGGCGCTAGCGGGTGGCCCGCCAGTTCCAGGGACTTGTCCTGGCGCTGTCTCTTGCACTTATAGCGCCGGTTCTGGAACCAGATCTTGACCTGCGTCGACGTGAGCTGCAAGGCGCTGGCCAGGTGCTCGCGTTCCGGCGCTGACAGGTACCGCTGCTGCTTGAAGCGCCGCTCCAGAGCCAGCACCTGCGCCTGCGAGAAGAGCACGCGCGGCTTCCGCCGGGGCCGCCCTTTGGGATGCTCCGAGCCATCCCCGCGCGCGCCGCCGCCGCCGCCGCCGCTGTCACCCACGTCGCGCTCCTGCACTCGGGTCCCGTCGCAGGGGGGCGAGGCTGCGCTGAGGCCGGACTCTAAAAGCACAGGAAGGAACACCGTCAGCGCCAGCCTAAGGCTCACCCGAGAGATTCTTACGCTGTTTTCAAGGGACTCCCCTCCCCTCCTAGTAGCCTTCACTTCGGTTCCCCGTCTCTCCCTTCTGCTGACCCCTCACCCCGTCCCAAAGCTCGTTCCTTTCCCCCAATCTCTGTCGCTTTTGCAGCTGCTGGAACATAATGCAAATTGTGACACTCAGTGGTACCCAGTGTACAGTCGTTTCCCCAAAGATAGACTCTTGATCCAGAGTCTAAGCTTCATTCTCTTCTTAGAATGTCTGTAACTGGGCTGTTCTCTGTAATTGAAATTCTAAAGTGTGGACGAGTTTGGGGAAACTTTTGCTGCGAGCCTATTAGAGACTGACTTTAGATTGCTCTTGGTGGGGAAAGAGAGAGACAGAGGCAGAGAGAGAGAGAACCAAAACTCGGTGACATGCTTGCTCGGAGGCTCTCATCTGCCTGGCTATCTGTTGTGGCCCGGCGCGCACCGCAGGGTACTTGGTTTCTAGCCCAGGCGCCAGGGTCTCCAGTGCCTCCTACCTTCACCTCATCTTTGCTCACATCCTTGTCTCTTTGGTCATCAGATGCTCCACTGGCACCAGGAACCCTTCCCATCTTTCCTGGATGCGATGCTCTGTATCCAAATTAACAACATAAAATAAAATAAAAAATATTTTCTGGCTGCTGATTCTTGGCTCGGAAACTGAGGTTCTCTTTGCGGGATATGTAAAGTTAAAATCCACATTTGGCTTTTAAAAAGCGTCCTCTTTCTCCTTTGGGGTCTCCCGGGAGAGCGGGTGGCGTTGGCTTCTCCCGGACTTCCTCTTCGGGTCGGGCAGCGCCCTCGAAGATAACCCCTGGGCGACTGTGCCCGGGGGCCTCCAAGACGCAGACTTTCCTTCCCTTCTTCCCACATCTCCTGATTTGGCAAAGCTCTGCTTTTTATCCAAGGGTAGGTAGGAAGGAAATGCTGAGTTTTCGTGGAAATTCACGCCAGGAGAAAACCGGGAACGTGAAAGGATGTATGCTCTTGGCGAGGCGGAGCAGGAAGACCCTAATTAGAGCCAGTACTACTTGGAATCCGACTCCAAATCCACAACCGCGCTGGCGCAGTCTCCTGGGGCAAGGGGCTGTTTGGTATTTCAGATTGAGGAAATAAAACCTTCCTTCAGAGAAGCCTGTGCTCAGACAAACTTAGGACATCTCTCCCCGCAAAGAGGAAAGAGGAAAGTAACAGCTGGCCTTCGGTGACTCTGTGGAACAAGCAGGACCCCATTTGGGAGTCGCTGACCACGCAGACCGAGGGGCTGCAGGCCACTCCGTGCCTTCCCGGTCACAGTTCGGAGCCCCTCTCACCCTGCGTCCCTGCAAGCAAGTTGAGGACGGAGGAGGCGCACAGAATCCCCCAGGAAAGATCCCTTCCACGCGCGATCGGTGGCTGCCATGGACCCTGGGCTTAGTTCCTGGAGCTGGGCGCCGGCCCCTTCTCGGCGACAACCGCAGCCGCAGAACACCGAGCTGCCCCGGGCGTGCCAGGGGAGGAGGAAAGCCCTGCGGCTGTCTTCAGCTGCCAGGTGACAGCAATGGTCAGAGGAGCGTGACCCCTTTTTCGGCAAAGCCGAAGTGAACGGCGAACTGTCTGAGCAGCGCTGGGAGAGATGAAGGTTTAGGGTCCGCTGCAGAAAATTCACAGGTTTCTTTGGGAACACAGCAAAGTGTACTGTTCTCCAGGCTCCTGGAGCAGGTGAATAACCAGCCTGCAAGTCGACGAATAACCCTGAACCAGCATCTTAATTTTCTTCATGTGGTTAGTTTGAGGCTCGAATGGAGTGTCCGTGGCACAGCCTGGCCGAGGAGGCCTGACCTGAGAGGCGCCTCTCGGGAGCCCCCAGACCAGCATGGAGGCTGCGGACCAAGACGCAGAGGTTTGGAAAGAGGAGGAGTAGCCTTTTCATCCCCCCGAATGTCGAGCCTCTCCCGCCAAAACTTCCCGGCTGCAAAAGCCAGCCCAGCACGACCCCCCGTCCACCTCTTCCCCTCCTGCCGCTGGTCGCAGATGCCTTGGCCTCTCCGCCAGCGCACAAGGTTGCTCCTCCGGAGACCAGGCGCTGAGACTCCGCTGGAGTCGTTCGTCTCCCAGAACAGCTAAAACGCGAGCTGCCCTTACCGTGCTCCAGGCAGAGGAACGACTGGACTGGCCAGGCCACTCGGCAAGCCCCAAGAAAAGGCTGGGCTGGGATTGACCCCAGAGCCTACGGAGTTTCCACTCCCAAAGCGCCCGGCTGATTTGATGGCTACACTTTCGGCAGACGGTTTAGGGTATAGAGGGTGGGAAATGGCTGGCAAAGCTGGTGGTGATGGAGCACGGCTAAGATACTGTAGAGGGCTTTGCTGTAAGAAAGAGAAGCTGGAGTTTCTGGGAACTGTGGCTGTGGGTCGGGGCGGGGGGGAAGTGTCTGTGGGAATCAGAGGACTGGCTGTGGAAATAGTGAACCCCCAAAATTCAGGACCTCATTTTCGTTAGGATGTCTGGAGGAGATGTTAGAGGGGGCTGGGAGTCCTGTCTTTCGGACTGTTCATGTGAAGGAAAACGGGGCTAGCCCTCGGAGCCGGGAAGCCCAGGAGATGCGTGTCCCCCCATGAGCCGATTGGTAATAATCCACCCCACCTCTTGGTCTCCCTGTAGAAGCCAAGACCCGAGGGCGTACTCACGTGGCTCGCCCACCAGTTCAGCGTCCATCTCTGTGACTGTCTCACAGGGACCTTCAGGAGGCTCCGACCCTTCCTGCCTTCTGTCGCCGTCGCCGCTACCGGTGCTGGGAACCTCCGACCCTCGCTGTTCTGGGACCGGTAGCAGGTACTGAGAGCTTTCCGGGCTCCTCCGTGCACCCCTGAGTTGCAAGACCTCCGGGCCAATCTGCTCACGCTCCAGCCTCAGGATGTCATTGACCGAAAAGGGAGTGGAGGTGACAGGGTTCAGTAACATCCTGAAGGAGGAGGGGGCGGGGCTGGGGCGTCCCCGGTCCCCACAGAGCGCAGCGCGCTGAGCTTTCCGTTTTGCCGCTGCAGACTCCGCAGACCCAAGGTCTACGATAGACACCCAGCGTCCCGTACTGCGCCTTCCTCTGGGCCATCCCTGCCAGTCGATTGACCGGGCCGGGTGACGAAACCGCGGACCCCCATTGGTTCCCGCAGAACCCACGTGTTAACTCAGCATCTTCCCCCGCCCCAGTCCTTTCTTCTCTCGCCCTTCTAATTCCTCTCCAACCCCCAGCCACCTTCCGAAAGGTTTGGGTTCTCGAAAGCAAGGAAAACGGGAGAGAGCCTGCGCACGGCTCGTATCTCGGTGAATACAGTACAAACGGGAGCTTCCCAGGTCAACCTTGGGTCCCTCGGGACTCTCCTAGAGGGTGTGCGGGGATGGGGGTAGAACCCTTGCTCTGCAACCCTAGTTGGTCCCTCCGGCCTAGCCTTAGCTCAACTGTCCAACGCCTGGCAGAGGAAAACTCAGGTGGAGACCGCTGGGCACCCGCGGGATTGGAGCTGCACGCATGAGTGTAAGTGCGCGCATAGCAAGGGCCAGGAGGCTGAGAGCTCCTTCCAGGGAGCAGAGGCTGGACCGCAGAGGAGCGAGTCTGGACCCTCCACGGCCTAGACTGAGGTGGAAATGTCTCACTGAGAGACGAGTCCGCATGTAGGGAGCCGAGATCCGCCACTTCCCAGGAGGGACATCTCAGACCTGGAGCGAAGAAAGGACTTGGGAGCTATATTGGGGGAGCCCCTGACCTCTTTATAGGTTCCGTGAGTGGGTAAGGAGGAGAAAGGTAATAGTCCCCGCCGGGGTGTAGGGGCCAGACAGGTGCTCACCTTGCCCTTCACGACCCCAGGGCCCTTCTTTTCCTCCCCTTTATCCTCCCTAAAGTTGATTGTCTTGAATGTGTGTGCATGTGTGTACGAACACGGCACCCCACGAAGGGGTGGGAAGTTTTGATGAGCATCAAATCTTCGGGAAAGCTCCTTGGGCACAGCCGGACCGAGTAAAGGGAGGCAGTGTGTGCAGTGGTTATGCAGGTGGAATCCACAGGTCCAGCCCTCACTCTGGAGCATATCAACTGTGGGCTTTGAGCAAAGTATTTACCCTCCCAATCTTAAGTAAAAAAAAAAAAAAAAAAAAAAAATGGAGATAAGAATAAGTCCATCACAGGATGATTGTGAGAATTAAGAGATAACATGTATGAAAATATCAGCGATTGTTACTACTCACGCTATATGGTTCAGTCAAACATGATTCCGGGTCAGCAGTCGTAGCACAGAATCTAAGAAGTTAAAAAAATTTTTTTAAATCCAAATGAGATCTCATTAGAATTCTTTTTGGAATTTCAAATACAATGTTTCTTAAATAAACCTTCTTAGGAGAATTCGATATTATAAGAACTAACTGGGCATTATTATTTCCTGAAACCCAGATAAACTGTACACATCTCCTCAGGCTAGTGAGCGCAAAATTTCTCGGAAAAATTCATGCAAATTTTTGGCAAATTTGATGGTTCAGTCGAGAAATAATTTCTTATATATATCGTATCATTTAATCTTTACATCGAAGATATACCCTGAGTGTTTCCAGCTTTCCTTTTCTTTTATTAGTGAAGAGTCGAAATCAGAGAGGTTGAGCGACTCCAGAGGTGGCCCAGCTCGTCAATGGCAAGGTGCACCAGGACCCCTGTTTTGCCAAAACAGAACTCCTCCCTCCTCCCCCCCCACAAAGAGACATCTCTTTGTCCTCAGAGACATCGAAATCTTTCGATGACTCATACATTTATTTAAATTCTGTTATTTTTTTCTGATTATAAAAGTCACGCACACTTGGAAAAAATTAGGAAAAGTTGAAAAGAAAAACAAGATCCATCCGGAGATGATATTTTAGCTCACTTCCTTCTTTATATATTTTTGCATGTATGCGCTCATAGGGGATATGCGAGCTTGTATATTTTAAATTTACATCATGAGCATGTGTAGCTTCTCTAAAGAGTTTTTACAGATATATTTTAAAATGGCAATATAATAGTCCATGTTATGGATGAACCATAATAGACTGTTTATACTTTTACATTACAGCTTTTTTTTTTTCTGTCGCTGTGAACAAGGCTTCAGAGAACATCTTCATCCTTGTCAACATTTTGGATTATTTCCTCAGCGTAAATATGTAGAATAAACAATGAATCAAATATTTTAACACTTCTAAAACATATTCCACGACTTCCTAGAAAAACAGTATTATGGTATCCTCCTCCCTCCAGAGGTGTAAGCGATTGTCTGGTTAGGCGTGTGTTTACAACCAGCCGGGCACCCAAAACACGACGAATTTAGAACCTTTCCATTCAGAGCACTCTGGGTAGGCGCTCTTCCCACTCCTCTCTGGGAGCAGGCAGAGTCCTCGCCTTCCAAGCTCGGCTGGGAGGGGAACCCGATTAAAAACTTTAAGTCACAAACCTTCCAGCACGTTATTCTAGAGTGGAATTCTCTCGGCGGACTGCCGCGCTCTAGGAAGTCGTAGAAGAAAGGGCACCTTGGAAGAAATTGACATCAGCAGCCCTGAGTTCAAATCCTTCTCTCAGATCCGCAGGCTTGCCTTTCTTCCCTGGTTTGCTGCCAGGATCAAATGAGATTTTGGACGTGGAAAGGATTGCTAACCCCGCTCAAGCGGTGCAAACACGAATCTTCGTTACCGAAAGAACTCAGGCTCCCCGGGGAAACCTGGAGAGCCGGGCCCACATCGCCCTCGCCCACCGAGGCCGGGAGAGCAGCGGACCGGGAACCTGCACCTCGGCGCTCGGGTCTCAGCTCCCGGCGCTTTCCCCTCGCCCGGGCCTCGCGCCCCCGGAGTCGCCTGCCGCGGTTCGGGACCCCGGGCGTTGGGACATCGCGGTAAATGAGCCGGGCCTCCGCGTCCCACTTTTTCCTCCCCTCCAGCGCCAGGGCGCATTGAGCTGTGCGCCCCGGGGACTGGAACCGCTGCGCTGATCTCGCCCCTTCCGGGTCAATGGATTGCAGCCGCGTTAGGGACAGCCCCGCGGCGGGAGGATAGTGCGAGCTCTCGGCAGCTAGCTGGAGCGCGGGCGTCGGGGAGGGGAGGGAGTAATCTGGCCTGGTGGCGTGAGCAGAAAGGCCAGGAGTCCTGGGGCTCTCAGGCGCATCCCCGGACCCGGCGCAGCCCGGACAAGGAGGTGCGGTGTGTGTGTCCCTTGGGCATGAGTGGAGAAGTCATCATCTCTGTGCGGGGGGAGATGGTGGGGGGGACGGTGTGTGAGCCGAGCGGATCTGCTTTACTCCACCTGGCTCACAACACAAAACGCTCAAACAATACTAGGTCCACAAATGTGTTTTGAGCGCCTACCGTGGGCTAGTTCCGTCCAAACTCTGAACATACTGGGGAAATGAGGGGCCTCAGAGCCTTAATTTTACCCCATTCTTTTTAAAAAAATTTAAATGAATTTTTATTGAAGTATAGTTGCTTTACAATGTTGTGTTAGTTTCTACCGTGCAGCAAAGTGAATCAGCTATACGTATACATATATCCTCTTGTTTGGATTTCCTTCCCATTTAAGTCACCACAGAGCACTGAGTAGAGTTCCCTGAGCTATACAGTAGGTTCTCGTTAGTTATCTATTTTATACATAGTATCAATAGTGTATATATGTCAATCCAATCTCCCAATTCATCTCCTCCCCCCTCCCCCATTTTACCCCATTCTTGCACAGGAGACAGACTCAAATCATTCCCATGATACCTGGCACAATCATATGGAATTTGTGCGCCATATTTATTGAAACTCTTCCCATCCACGGTTAACAAGTGTCCTTTTCTCCCCTATTTCAGACTTCACCAAAACGAAGGGATTCCTTCTTTAAAATTCGATACGCAACAGGCAACTTCCAGTAAAGTCCGGCGCTGGGGCCTGTGTGCTCGCAGGAAATCAACTGTCTCCAAGGTCTTTGACGGGAGCTCAGGATCCCCATTAGATTGGACTCGGGCTCTGGGTCTGTTGTCACAGCTGTATCCCCAGGGCCTAGGCTAGCAACCAGCACATAGTAGCTCTCCAATCAACATTTGTTGGATAAAGGAATCTGCCTTGTTTGCTTGGAGATAGTCCTTCCGATACCCTGGGGACTGGTTCAGTAGAGTCTGGCCCTCCAGGAGTGGGGAGACTGACTTGCCACGGTTTCTATTGCTGGGGTTCTTTTAAAGATATTATAATAGCTTGTTTATATTTTGAGTATGTGAAACAGTAACATAATTCTAAAAGTCAAAATTATGCGAAAAGAAGTGGCCACACAGCTTTATCCTTTCAATTTCTGTTCCTCTTTCTTTCCTGGTTCCTATACACTCTCATGGTTTTTTCCTCTTTCTCTCTCTCTGTATGTTTTGCACAAATGAACAGCTACACGTATATGTTTCCTATTTTTCTGTCTTCCTTAGCTGACAAGGTAGCATAATATGGGGACTCTTTCTTGTGGTTATAAAGCAGTGACATTTATTAAGAGTTTTGTGCTGGTATTATCACTTCTGATTGCCACCTGTGAGTGGTTCTGCTTTATAACACAGGATGTCACAGCTGCAACAACGATGTCTATGCATTTTCTATCAATACCTACATCTCCTTGGCTCAAAATAAGCTAATCCATGTGTACCGTATACTCAGGATACTGAGTATCTCCCACTGTTCATGACTGCATAGATCTCCGTAGCCTTATTTTCACAGAATGCCTAATTGCAGTTTTAAAGTAAATCCTTTCAAAACAACTCATTGAGTTTTCTCTTTTTTTTTTCTTTAAAATGATGGTGTCTTTTGAATGATGGTTTCTCATGTTTTCTTTTAGCTTAATTAACTCTATTTTACAGCTAAAGAACACAGATGATACCAAACTACACAACTACCAGAAGAAAATCAGACTCCAGGTTTTCTCACTACTGATGCTGGTTTTCTTT